TGCATCAAGCCCACAAACCAAAGTTTGACCCGAAGAAAGGGGAAAAATCAATAAAGTCTAAATTCAGCCATCCACTCAGTGTCTGATCTAGAACCAAAGCAACTCGAAGGAAACGTAAACAAATACCCATAGCGTTCATGGCCATCTGTTGCTGCTGCTGATGCTGCTGGTACTGTTGCATTTTTGCATGAGCTTGAAACAGTGTTTGTTTGAGCGATTCTCTCGGGGGAATCTGAAAAAAAAATGCCGCTTTTACCTGAAACTACTGGGAGCAATACATCTGTGAGACGTATACCGCAGAACAAACCATACAAGGAAAGTGGATCATTTTAGTGCCCTCATTTGTAGTGAAGAGACGTCAGGATCGTCGGCAGGAGAAAAGCGTGGCATGCTTTCTTGAAACCTCTTTAAACACACACAACGAATTTCTGGCACAAAAATAAGCCTAGAAAAGTGAGGTGAAAATGACAACACCATCTCTTTGTATCGTTCTCCACACTTTCACCCTCTCTATCAACTTTACCACTGGTCAGGCTTACTTTTTCGACAGAACCCCTGGCTACCGATGCAGCAGCAACAGAAAGCTACAAATAAAAAAGTAAATTCTTTGAAAATGAGCAAGCAACATGGACATTGAAAAAAGCCACGCATCAGTGTGATGCCAGCGAGAAAGCAAAGCGATCGTTCCGGAGATAACACCCGCTCTTAGCAAAAGAGGATGCTCACGATAGACGGGCCTGCTACAGCTGTGCCCAAAAACTGCAGCAAAGCACGACTGTACTTTGGTACGACAGTTCGGGCGATTTTACTGGTCTCAATGCATGTTTTTCAAAACCCCTACCGATGCAAAACAAAGCAGAGGACTTACGTTATGCGATTTACTTTGGCTCATCAGCACCTGCATTGGTTCCAGAATCATACAAAGTTTCAAATAATTTAGCGTTATTTGTGTCATGCCTGTCCGCGTTATACTCATCTTCAGTTTCTCCTGCGTTTCGCTGTCTTGCAGCTGTAACAATAGCGGCCATTATGTTTATAATTTTACAAACATTTCCGAGGCAGCAATACGTTTCGGGACAGAAAAACCACAGATGGAAAGTGCACTATGAGGCCTCCAGAGCTTTAGTAACCTCTTGATTCCCTCAGTGAAATTTTTTATTCATTAGGCAAGAAAACTGTCATACGTCAATATCAGCGAGGGAGGGGAAAAACCATGCTGCTCCGTGCAGTGGGAAAGCACCTCATCGAGCAAGTTAATTTCCTAACTGATGTCACCACTCTGGGAATATCGCATTAGGCTGCCACGTGCTTCGCTTTCAATGTCAATTGCTAATCCGGAAAAAACTACAGGCGACGGAACACCACTGTGAAAAGATTCGAAACAGCAAGTACTACCAGCAAAAAGGTAATTAAAACTCTTATGTGATGCACTCATTGTGATAAAGCGCCCAGAAGCTACTCGAAAGACAACAATTTAACTGCAGCAGACAACTAGCGCGGCTGCCAAAATAAAAGTGAAAAAACCCATCTCCTTTTTCGCACCTAATGAGAAGCAGTACGAGTGAGAGTAAATGTCCACGGCAATCATCCGCGGGCAGGGATGTCAATGGCTCCTTCTTTCGAGGGTTGCTTACAAACAAGCAGATAGCGGGTTTGACTCCCTACCACATGACACTATCAAAGTGCCAGTGAAACGAACGAACGAACTGCGCAGGGATTGGTTTTGCCAATCAAACAACTGCTTCAGAAGTGAAAGCGTTTGCAATCCAAAGCCAAATGTTCAACAAGAAACTAACACGAGTGCAACATACCATATTAATATCTCTGAGGACGAATTCCTGACAATGCCTTAGCTCAATGTTCCACTGCCGGATCCTATAGCCATACGTCTCATCAAACGCAAATTCGCACATCAACTTACAGTCGGTGTGCACCTGAAAAGAAGTTGTGCCTTCGAAAACAGCTCAACGTCGAGAGGTATCTCAAACGGGGCATATATTTGTTGCGAATAATTTAGTGGTATCTCGCTCGATTTGTGTTTGTAATCAACTGACCTTTACAAAAAAAAATCCTAATTTTACTTAAAATATCAAAAACAAACTGACGAGCTTGTTTGTGCAAGTCGTCAATCACCATAGAACCAAGTTTCGGCCACTGGAAAATTTGCTACCTCCTACATTTCGTTTTGATCACACAACACCAGTATTATGCCAAACAGTCAAACCACTCTTGGCTTGTTTCCAAGGTTCCTCACGAAAGAAAGACCATTATCAGTCCAGCAGACGAAGTAACTGCTGCTGGCAAAGTCTGGGCAAATCCAAATGTCCCCGCCCTCAAAATAAAACAATGAGGAGAGGGAGGGGAAGAGAGGAAGATACTGGGAACAAAGAAGGCCTGGTAGAGGAATGAAAGAGAGAAGCCCAGTAAGAAATAAACCAGGACTAAAAACCTAAGCAATATACAGCAGTTCGAAAGAAGGTGCTCTCAAAAAAAGAAAAGCTAAATCAAGACCCTGATTAACTGTCAAAATTTATATGGCGGGGAATTTTGTCACTGCCTCTGTCCTTTCTTCGCCCTCTACCCAATCTGAAAGAACAGTCAGGAAATATACTTTGCGAAGAATATTTCTGAGCACCGAAGTAGACCCGGGAACAGAAAATTAATCAGCTGGAAGGATGAGGAAAAACGATAAATTGAACGCTCACTTCCGATAAGACCGGTTTTTCGTGTTTTGATACAAGCAGCACGTTGTCGCAATCAAGCACGATTGTCCACGGCCCTCCTGCTTGCTCGCGTGACGGTGTTCGTACTACGTAAAACATTTCTTTCACGCCACTTTCAAATATTGACCGGAAATACCTTGGTATCAACAATCGACCGATGGCTGAAACATGTTTGTGAGGCGCATAATTTACGTCTTTCGCAAATCCATCAGATTCTCTTTCTACTCATCCAGGAAAAACGTTCTTAATCAAAAGTTATCTCAATGATTAAGCTGAATAAAAATAATAAAATTCGCTTGAGGTTTCACTGGCATCATTGCGACATCCCACGATCCGGACAGTCTATGCCAACGATGCAGCAAAAATGATTCGGACTCCAGGCACTAAGATCGGCTCACCACTACACCAACAGGCCCTTATCTACTCATAGAATCAAAAGATAGATGGGTACTTCTGTCTCAGAAGGCGCACGGAACTTGGTTTTCGATTCACAATTCCTAACAGTAAGCAACAAAACTGAAAAAAACACATACTGTAGCGATGGTGATGGCCTGGCACCTGATCGTCGAACAGCACAAAACTCATTTTAGCGTCGTCATCAAAAAATTCATGCGCGAACGCATCCCACCACTGCGTGTGATCCTTTTCCTGGATCTGCAAATTTTCAAAAGTATCGACTAACAGGGCACATATGCTAAGCGTATAGGCTAAATGCTGTTGATCTGTACTGCTACAAAGCAGCACCATATGGAACGCACTGTTAATGCAGAACTTCGACGGATCGGCAGCAAACTGGGCGCAGCTATCCCAGCACTTCAAGCGACCAGTTTGTGCGTGCAACCCTCAATCACACAGACCCGACACCTCTTCCGAGTCCCTTTTCGAAGTCAGTTTCTTTCTCGTTGACATCATTTACTCACTGATATGGAGCACACGCCGGTTGTTAGCAAACAAAACCTCACGGGCCCGACCTCTTTTGGGCGAGACTTTGCGGACAAGTTGGGACACAGACCGCAAAAAATGAAACACTAAGTTTCAGCTCATCAAACAGTAAAATTAAAGTAGTATATCTACAGTGACACCCGATCGGTCCTGGTTCACTTGGCAAACAGCAAAACCGCATAATTCTGTGAAATTCACATATTATGCTTGGCGTTATAAGCTAGCGTAAGTAAGGCAGGATCTCAATCGACCGTATCCAAATCAGGATCCAAGATGATTCAGACAAAAGCTATGGGCTTAGGGCACAGAAATCTGAAAAATGACACCCTAAAAATGAAATGTGGTGCACAAAAACCACTTACCCCGCTATTGCTGAAGATGAATAACCTCCGGTTCATTTCATGCAACCTGAACTCCAGTTGTGAAGGTGGAGGCCCTTGCTGATGGTTTGGCACTCCCATTGGAGCGACATGCCTGTACCTAAAACGGTAAGTAAAATAAGTTGCCGAATGGCAGTTTTTATTCAAGCTTTAAAAAAAAAACATTTATAGAATTGACAGAAATTTTTCAAAAAAAAAAAAAGTTAATGCAAAAAAGCCCCGTTTGTCTTTAGGGCCTCAGCTACTAACCCTTCAAAAAAAGCAGCTGAATTATCTCGCCGGCAATACAAAATCCCCCTGTTGTTTTGATATTTCACACGAAGATTTTAGGTGCCGGAGAACGAATGTCGCCTTGCTTCACGCCTCTGCCAATTCCCACTTCAACGTTATGAATTTCGTGTGGTACCATGGGTTTCCATCTTATATCAACAAAATTAGCCACGGTGGAGGTCACAAGCGAGCAGCAGCAGGCTCCCCGGCCCCCATTCTCCGGCCGAAGCAGCCAAGAGCGTGGTCGATTAATGTAATTGAAAAAGGGTATATCTGTGAAGAATGAGAACCTCATGATCATGTGATTATGCTGCTGCAGATGAGATGGCTGCCCAACAAATGGACTCTGCGGTGGTTCAGGTTCAATGAACTGGTGCGGCGGCGGCGGTGGCGGTGGTGGTGGCGGTGCCTGCTGTGCAGGTCCGGGTGGTGGTGGGCCAAGCGCCGATGGCTGATACCCGGGCGGTACGGCCTGGTAGTACTCCGGAGGCGGTGGCGGTTGCGGGACCGGTGCGCCCATGGAGCCCTGCGGTGGCGTGTACACGTGATGACTGGACATCGGTCCACCGGCATCATCGTGCATCGGGATCATGCCGTTGTGGTTGTGCATCATAGGAACCGGTTGCATGGCCGACGGGGCCGCTTGGCCGGTGTCGTACATACCCTGGACGAGTTCCAGCTTCGGCTCCAGGCCGCCACCACCGCCAGCAGCAACCCCCACGACCACGTCCTTCTTCGATCGTCGTGCGCGCGGCTTTGTCGCACCACCGACCGTTGCGCTTGCCGTACCATTTTCATTGGCCTTGCGACGCGGCATCGGTACACCGCTGCTCCTCAAGCTAAATGTGCTTCTGTTCTGGTTGCACTCTGCATTTACTGTAGCAGAACGAGCCAACGCTCACTTCTCCGCTTGCAGCACTTACAAATGCACATCACCCTGTTAAAATTCAAAAATGAGGGAAGAGATCTGGGCCGCCCGGCGGGTCAGAAAACCCCACTAACTTGGGTGGTACCTGCCTGATTGACCACGGTCTGCACTGGTTTCTGAAATTACAACGAAAATAAGTCTAGCGCAATCCAAGTTAACGCGCAACATCAACTTATCAATATCACGGCGAGGAACAGTAACTTCACCACCAAAAAATTTATCCGCAGTCAAGCACTAGAAGTGCGCAAATGTAGTGTGCTTTCTCGTCTCTTCTTTTCACTGTTTTTCCCTCGGCTTATTACTCAATTTTGGTATCTTTGATTATAAACCTTTAACCAGGCCTTTTAAATGTGCATTTTCCACACTTAAAAATTCTGTCACATATTATCGCAGCCGTCGTAATGACGAGGTGCAGTTGTGGTACTGAGAAGGAATGTATACGGCCTAATGGGGCAAAACAGTTATTAACTTTAATTGTTATTTGTTTTGCCTTCGTATTTCCCACGCTTTATAGCACATTTTTGTAAATTATATAATAATGCTTAACTGAATAATTATATCTAACAATATATTGCTTTTGCCACCTATTATTATGAGTATGTTCTTAAGCTATAATTAATACTATTTCCCCATTCGTTTATTTTTATTTTCTATATTTTATTACTCTTATTACTATTGCATTTTTAAGATCCGAAAAATTAGAGTATTATTCTCCTACCCCTAAAATATATCTATAACTCGGCATATTTTTTTCCAGGACTGCCTCATCGCCACCGCGAGAGCACCTGACTTTCTTTATTTGTTCAGGAGGACATTCTCATGTGATTTTGTACGTCACTATTAAAGCTAAACGCTCTCACTGGTAGTGTATGAAAATGCAGGTGAATGAAGGCTGGCACAGTCAATATCCAGAAATGATCTTTGACAACGAAGAAGGCTTACTGCAGCAAAACATCAAAATGGCCACACTTCCTCACTCCCTCCCACACCCTAATCATCTTGTCCGTTCCGACGCTGTTAAAGACATTTGAAATACAGTTATAACATACATTATTTCATCGCAACTAAGCTCGAAAAAAA